ACTATTATACCTCTGTACTTAGTACAAAGCACACACATTCCTGGCTATATCATAGTCACTGGCTCTACTATTTTATGGCACACAGCATTTGCTCCAGGAAATTATTCATTAAAAAAAACTTCAAATGCTGGCAAAAATGGAAACCATGGATATGGGTTGGGAGCTTGAAACTGATTTGGAGGTGGTTGCAAGGGCAGAAGGATAAGGAAGTATTTTAAAGTGACATAGAGATGCATTCAATGCAAACCAGCCAGGTGACAATCGGTCTATTCCATTTGTAGATCTCCAAAATTTTGCTTCATTTCTTTTTCAACAGTAAGTGGAGTCTGCTACATTCAGGGCTTCCACTGAGGCCAGATTTTAATGTGCTTGAGGACTCAACAAAGAATCCAAGCCTTTGCATTACAAAGATTCTTTAGCACAAGATTATGAAAGCTGATAACCCCAGGCAAAGAATCTAGGCCTGTTAGAGTAGACGATCCATTAAGTTTTATTCCATGAACGACTGGAAAAAGAGATGAAAAGGCCTGCCTCTTTCTGAGATAGGTCCCAATCACTGATGCAATAGTATCAAAATTATTGGTTTCATGGCTTCAAAAATCTTGGCTTGGCTCTTAAAAACTATCTTCAAACACTGCAAGCTACAATGAAAGGGTTTCTTCCCCTGTGGTTTTGAACATGTTGGGGCATATTTCTTAATTTCTTTGCTCCATGAGCCTCCCTGAACATTCCAAATAATCCACATGGAATTTAGCTTCTTTTTGTTTTTATATTCCCGTTGCCAAAACATGCTGGACTCACATGATCAAACATGAACCAAAATGCCAGTGCAAAAAAAGCTAGAGTATGAGATGGCTGCAGTCACAGTAAGAGCTTTTACAGCTGCAAGTTCAAAGTGAACAAGCAGAATGCAAACCTTTTTCTAATACAGAAGTTTTAAACGCAGTTGATGATGCCCCTTCCGGCAGGAACAAAGCACAATTCTAAAGTAGAGCTATGCCCTCTGCTGCTTCAGAAGAGTATGCACACAGCTAAATGTCAGAAAAATCATTTCCATAACTTTGCTTTGCATAGCATTAATCCAAATGGAGAGACTGCAACCAAGAAATTAGAAGAAGACTGAGATTAGGAGAGCAACAATAAAGGAATTAGAAAATATGATCAAGTGTAAGGATGTATCACTAGAGACCAAGATCAAGATCATTCACACTCTTCTATTCCCAATCACAATGTATGGACAGTAAAGAAAGCTGAAACGAAAAAAATACAGTTGAAATACAGTACATTTGAAATACAGTGCTGGAGAAGAGCTTTGTGGATACCCTAGACTGTCAGAAAGACAAACAAGTGAGTCCAAATCAATCCTGAACTAGAGGCCAATGTTGAAGCAGAGACTGTCCTAGTTTGGCCACATAATGGGAAGGCAGGATTCTCTGGGAAAGACAATAATGTTGGGAAAATGGAAGGCAGCAGGAAAACACCCAATACGAGATGGACTGACTCCCTAAAAGAAACCACAGGCTTGAGTTTACAAGAGCTGAGCCGGGCAGTGCAGGACAGGACATTTTGGCAATCACTCATTCTTCGGGTTGCATTGACTCAAAAGCAACTTGACAGCAGGTAACAACTTTTGAAAAAGTATTTGAATAGAATTCTTACTTATATTACAAAGACAATTGAGAACTTTATTACTTGTTGCCCAGTTCCCAATGTAAATTATTTTACAGAAAGCCAAGAAACAACTTATATTTACATACAGTATGTTGAAAGAAACAAGAGTAGAAAGTTATGTACATATATGAGATTTTCTCCCACAGGTTTTATCAAGATAGTTTTGTGGGACTCAAACCAAAATGTTGCCGTGTGGATCCTTCCTTAAGAATATTCTTCACTGCTCTCCTTCAAGATACTCTATTCTAATTCCTACCCTGCCCCTTGAAATGTTTTTGCACTCCTTTCTGGGTCTTTTAGTGATAAAAAACACACCAAACTTCTGCAAACTATGTATTTCTGCAGTCTACCGATACATCCCTCTTGTGCACAGACACTTGTTATTATACTTCTACCTAACCTGATTAGAGGTTTTACTAAACATTTACATTTTCTGGAAAAAAAATTGCCAACTTGTTTTAAGGTTTGTCACCTATTGAATCCAAACCCCTTCTGTCCTAAGTAGCACACATTAGCATCAACTCCAAAACTAAGGGCAGCAGCTAGGAAAACTGATGCCAGCTACTTTTGAGTATTAAAGGTGCCATCAGACTCTTTTCATTGCAGTTATCTAAAGTGCATCTTCCTTTCCAGCTCCATGTCTATCTGAGTATTCATCTTGTTTTGAATTTTGTTTTGGACATTTGGAACAGATTAGGGATTCTGCTGGTGTATCACCTACCCCTTTGCTCCGACGTCTGTGCCTGAACTAAGGGACATGGTCTCGGATTCGGTGTTGCGGATTCCATGAATACCAAGGTCACTGGATCTGAGACAGCTTGAAATTTTATGGCTATCATGACAGCCATGGAGGTGCCCCAACATGTCATCAATCCAAGATATGTGGCAAGATACATGTGATTTTTCTTCAGTGAGGTCAAGAGGAGGATCCATATATGAGTTCAGCTCCTATCCTTTGTCATGGCCATATCATTTCCCATTGACTGGAACAGTGGATTATTTCATTAAAGTGCCCTAGAGGCTAATGGATTCTGATGAATTTCAGATAGATCTGAGAATTTTCCCCTGGGTTTGATTGTTACTTTTGTTGATGGTCTGGTCACTCTATGGAACATGGAGATGCTCCCAGTCACTTTCTGTGTTGCAGAACCCAGGTAGCAGCTTGGTATGTATCTGTGCTGGAAGCAATGAAGCAAGAGAGGTAACGGCTACAAAGCAGGTGAAAAAACATGCTGAATTTGACTGAACACAGCTTAGGATGCATCACTGAGCTTATTCTGTGGCAGTGAGGGTGGAAAAGAATCTCTTTTCCAACTCTCACTGCATCTTCACAATGTCATCTAGCAGCTCTTTTCAGAATAGTGAAGGCCTGTTACAATCCAGTCTAGAGAAAGAGCTGGAAAATAAGTTGCCCACATCCGTCACAACATGGTATTCAATATTTGCTGTAATTCTGGAATTTATCAGAACACTGTTTCGGTTATATTGAATTAACTTCAGTTGTTAAGGTCCAAGGATGCAGCTAAGGTATTTTATTCAGCCTAATATTTGCACACATTCTCTTCTTGGCCTATTAAATCCAGCAGGAAAGTGATGTCACAGAAGATCCAAGATGTTTTGAAAGAGCAGCAGTACCAGACCCTTAAAAGAGGCAGAATACAGGCTGCTTTTGAAGACACTTAACCAGAAAGTCAAAAACTAGACCTACTCTTCCTAGGCAAAATGCCTAAGCAAATGGGCACTGATTAACTACATTTATGTGCCAGATTTATTTCAATCCAGCTTCAAGTCTGGATTTGAAACTGAAACTGACACGCTCACCTTATGACAATCTGTTCTGGGAGAGGTGCTATATGACTCTGCTGGTTCCAAAACCTCTCCGTGACTTTTGATATTACCATCACATATCAATTATGGTTTTTTAAAAAATTGGTTTGTGCCTTTGTATGTTACTGTTATTTTTACTGCTGTAACCCCCCCCCCAGTTTTTTATATTACCGTATCATCACATATCAATTTGTTTTTATTTTTATTATTGGTTTGTGCCTTCATATGCTGCTGTTACTATGGTTATTTTTATTGCAGCAAAATGCCTCCAGCCAGATGGACAGTATAGAAGTCAAATAAATAAAATAATAATAAATCAACCATGGTATCCGACTGGATAGTGTAACTGAGTTGAGTTGTGGAAGTACTTCTTTCACATTGCTCAGGCCCTGTGGTAATTGTATGGGGATCCTCAGGGCTCCAGTGCATTCCCACATGACTTAATTCACTTACCCAAAAGCACAGGGAGAAAAGATAAAGGGTTGTGGGTTAAAAAGACAGGCAACACTCAGTTCTGCCCTTTCTTTCTTTTTATCTAATGAGGTAGCTAAGCTCTAAACAAGTGGTTGGACAAGATAATTGACTAGATAAAATACAGTAACTGGAGACTCACTTGAACCTAGACTGGAATAATTGTGGCTAACTGGTTAAGTGGCATCTAGTCTGCTTTGGATAAGGCTGCACAATCGCTAAAAGAACAGATCCATAACTTGGAAGAACTCTCAGATCCTCAAAATTCAAGGCACAAGTCACTCAGACTGTGTTTTATCTACTTAGGCTCAAATACAAACTAGAATCCCAACTTCACTAAACAAAGAAAGCCTCGCAACTGTCTGGCTCCTCTTCACACAGCTGCCTCACACAGCTGAGTGTAGCTACCTCAGTGGCCTTGTGAAAAACTAACTGAAGAAGCTCCTCCTCCCATACCTACCTACCCAAACCCAAAAAATCATTATCTGAGATCCTTCTCCAGGTGCTCCTGCCTAGCAAGGTAGGTGGTTAAAAGAGGCACAGCATTTTCAGCAGGAGCAGTGACTGATTTGAAGGGGAGAGAAATGGAGGTGGTTGCAAGGATAGGAGGTATTTTGAACTGACACAGAGATGCATTCAATGCAAAACCGGCAAGATAACTGGCCTATTCCCTTTTGCCATCCCAAAAGTTAATCAAATGGCACCCTGGGAAAAGTCCATATATAAATAGATTGGGATCTAAGGCATATCCATTCTGTCACTTCAGATTTCAAATCTAAGCACAATTAACAAGGACGGAACTCCACTGACCACCAACTATGAAAGTGTGCATTCGGATTGCAATGCCATAGTGTGGAAACTACACACGAGTCTTAGTAGGTGACCTTCACTGTGAATCCTCAAAAGTGAAAGTAAACAGTTTAAACAAAGGAATTGTCAATTTACTTTCACACTACTAGTGATTCCCGAAAGTAAACACAGAACTAATGAGGGGAGATACCATGAGGTGGAAAAAACACAGAAGACATATATATGGGTTATAAAAGCCCTTTTATAAAGCCATTTTTAAACAAAACCAAAAAGTTTACAAAAGAAATTAAGATACAGAAGAATAAGTTGCTTAATATATTCAAAAAAAATTAAACAAGAGAGAGAGGGAAATATGAGGGGGACACAATTCCAACATGCTGAACAAGAAAGGGTTCTTTTCCATGTTCTCTTTTAATACAAAATACAAGCCAAGGATACACATACTTAAAACAGAGCTCAGGAGCAGATATGCAGTCCTGGGAACCCTTGAATAAAGCAAAGCAGGGATTGTTAATTTTGTTTTAAAACTGCAAGTACATACAGAGACTGGAATATGTAAAATTAAGTAGCACAAAAGACCATCACACAATTCTACCAATGCATGTTGCATCTATAATTCACGAACATGGTCAACAATGTCATGTTCACTTCAAACCCTCCCCCCTTTTAAAAAATGCATTTTTAAATAAAGCATTAATGTTACATTCAAACTGAAGTCCCAGTACCATGCTGCAAAATTCACTGTCAAGGGACAATGAAAACCCTATTGGTCATAATCATGATTGGTGATTCTGGCACCTAGTTTGAGAATATTCCTTCAGAAAACTGCTAGGTAGAAGTAGAATATTTCCGTCAGCTGTCCTTCACAATCACTCATGAAAAATGCAGGGGAGACAAAGAATCCAACAGGATAATGAATACCCAAGACAAATATCCACTGCATTCTATTTCACCAACTCCTAACCAACATGAAGGGCGCTTGCCCCACTGAGAGCTTTATTACTTCTTATATCTGAGAACAGTCTAGGGTTTTACTGTGACTTGATCCTGGTAAACAAATTACATAATTCTCTTATATACAACTTTTGTAATAATTGTTTCTGCAGGAAAGTAAAATTCACAAATTTCTAACACACATTAATTTGCCAGACAAACATCCACACATGCACACATATGCGTGCTCATTCCCACTCACACAAGATACTTGAAAGGGTTTCCACGTTGCTGCAACTTAAGATTGTGTGCTGTTTCTGCCCCAAACCATTTGTACCCGCCCCCATAAAAAATTCAGCCCGATATACAAAGTATATGCACAACAGTATCTTGCAGTCACATCAAGCATGCTCAAACTGATGGAACTATTACATTTTCTATAGCTGTGTACAGGGGCAGGTGGCAACAGGTGTTTTCCAGTAGCAGTCAACAAATCAGGTCTGCATACAGTGGATGCTTTAACAAATCTGAAAAGAAGTAACATCTGCTTTAGGGGTTAGAAAAGAATTTAACAGAAAATAATGAAGCCTGAGCTAGCCAATTAAGGAGAAAGGTTAGAAGGAGGAGGAATGGCTAAGGAAACTGTCAGCTTATGGGCCTTTCAATTATTACAACTATACCACATTCCCAGCTTCTGCCTTGTGGTGGGCACACAACCAAGAGGGGAATTTACTGTTCAGTTTCCATTTGGGACCTAGATTCTACAAGGAGTTTGTTCCAAGTGCAATGTCCAGGAAGGGGGAGAGGAGAGAAGAGGGACTTTTGTTAGGTTTCAGTAAAAGGTAGATCCCATACAGAGCATTACTGGATGAAGCTATTTAAGGGGGAAGGGGGAGAAAAATATCTCCCCCACAAAGTACTAATATCATTTCCCAATATTTAAAATCATGGGAATCATTTTCCTTTTATTTTATAAAATCATGTGCCAACATTATGATTTGTTATAAAAAATAAACACTCCACAGAAAAATTACATAAAGCAAAAGCACCGATTTGTACAGCTCATACATTTCCAGCATGTTAGACTTGTCACCATCCCCAGCTCCACTCCTTAGTTTAGCTGTTTGCTGTACTTGGGGTAATGTGTTTAGATCAGTTTAGAAGTACTTCCAATCCACATAATTCATGTTTCAGTACTTGGCGCACATTACAATTGAGCATACTCAGCATTTCTATCAACTGGCTCTTCTAATGAATCAGGAAAACTTTTACAGACCATTTGAATCTACATAATTTGTCCATTTCTCCCAAAACATTTAAACGTTATTTTTACAATAGATCAAATCAATCACTACATCCCTGCCTTTGATCTGTCCTAAAACATTAGTGAAGGGGAGGGGAGAATCACAAAGCATATATCTGGATACGCAGTTTTAAGGTGGGCAGGCTGCTTCTCCAGCACTGTGGCAACATCTGCCTGGTTAAACCAACATGTGTTGCAAGCACAGAAGCTTCTCAAAGCCTTGCTAAAATTTTGTCCATGCCCATGTTGCTCTCATAGTTGCTTGCTGAGCTACAGCTTATGATACACTGAACACATTTGATTTTGGTTTTCCAACAATTCTGCTAGAAATACTTTAAATTAGGATATTAAATAACTTGCCATTTCCAGGAAGCAAGTGATGTTAAGTGATTAATGTGCACTGGAATATCCTATGTGTTTTCCTGGCAATGCTTGTTCTATGGAATAAAGAAATGAACTGATACTGCTATTGCATCCCTAGAATACTGCACTCCAAAGCAATATAAACAGAGAGGCAGACAAGAAATTCCACAAATGTGAGCAGAATGTTTAAAATATTGACATAGTTTTGCTACTTTAAAATGAACTGCAGAAAATACTTTCTTCAGACTTTATACTAGATAAAGAATAGAGGGAGGGTCCTTTGCAGTTACTACTTTACTGTTTTGGGGCCTTTTTAAAATGTTTATTTATAGAGTGACTTATGTACACCTCAACAAAAATACAGCATTTTAGGCTTTCATAGATTCAAAGTTATGAAATCTGTTTGCCATCATACAGGATATCTGAAAGAACTGGCACAAAATTCAGTGTGACAACCAGTTCAAATAGCTGAAGAAAAACTCTTAATGGCTTCCCCGTATCTAATATGCATGACTATATATTTTAAAGAAAAGATATTGAAAGAAAAACATTCAATCAGCAGCAGAAATACAACGAACCCTAATATACAGGTGGATGCTTGCAGTGATATGAGGTCATCACCTGTATATTTGGAGCATCTTGGAAATGGTTAGATTGCCATCTTATTTATACTATGGGATAAGACTATCATTTTAGATTCAACACTCTGAAAGGAGTAACTCAATATTCATGCCTCCTGTACTGGTATCATTCAACATTTAAACTTTAGCTAATTGGCTAAGTGATCCAATCTAGACTGGCTTCTTTATAAGAATGCATACTCACTTTCTAGGTACTGTTCAAATGCACATTAACATCTAGATCAAAATTGTAACAAGCCAGAATGAACTTGTAATCTTTTGCAATGGCTTACACAGATTTATATAATTACGTACACATGAATAAAGCTGCTCTGAACAGAAGAGCAACATAGCCTGCATAAGCCAAAGCTTAAAAAATGCATACCTCTGTGTGGGTGCACTCGAAAGAGAGAAGCACTACGATACTTCACTGCTTATGCATGTTTTACTTTCATTTTCCAACACTAGTCAGGTAGACCTGATCTTTGAAGAGAATACAGGTGAACTACATCTACGAAGGTTTTATTCATGTACGCATGCAGGCATGTTTGTGTAAGAATGTGAAAACATCTTACAGTTTTGGCTTCAAAACTAATACCCAGCTTTGATTGGAGAAAAGGAGATTGTGGTTGAGAATGTGTGCTGCAAATGTACAAGATAAATAATATAAAATAGGTGGCACTCTAGCTTACAATAAATACTGCAGTTCTTTTCCCTAAGACAGGAAGGCAACATACGTCCTCTAAATTGACAATACTGATGGACAGCTTCAAATTTACTAAAATGCTAGCTAGCACACAAACCTCTCTCTCAAATATACTGTGCACTAGCAGAATATTGTATTTTTGTGAAACACCTAAGTTGTTGCTATATCCCTCATGTTTCCCTATTCACACCATACTCCTTGATTAGTCTAGGTACAGGACCTCTTCTATCTGGAGAACAAGTAAGACATGGCAGCAAAGCAGTATCCACTGCACGAGGATGAAGAATCAAGTTAAGCAACGAAGGAGCTGTCTAAGGGAAAGTTGTATTTTTTTTGTTGGTGGAACCTGACAAATTTTATTTTTGAGGATATCTAAGACATTTAAGCCAATGTGCATGGGCTCAAACACAGAGGCTGCACCATTACAAAAACTCTAGTCCTCTTCCCAGATAGATGTTCCAGCTTCCAGGATGTCTCCCTAAAGCAAGCATTATATTTTATACAAATATTTAAAGCAGCATGGAAAGATACAAACTTTGAAACATGATTTGGAAGAAACCTGTTGTGTTTTGGCCAAAAGGAATGCTACCCTAATTAGGAAGCAAGCATATCAATAGGATGAAAAGGGCCTTTGTAAAATGTGAAATGTAGAAAAGATCAAATGGTCATTAAAATTACCTTGGCTGTTAAAAATAGACTGTGGAACCCCAAACATTCAGAATATTGGAACTTTAAACCCTTGATGGAATTTAAAGTAATTCATATACTACCAATGCACTTATGTCAACAGAAATGCTGTAATACTAATATATTTGTTCTGCATTCTATTAAGCAACTTGGCTTAGATGAAGTTTCCAGTTTTGGAAAACTATTCTGTTTGCTAATTAGGACCCTCCACGTGTCAGCCTCAATCTTATTGCTTTACAACTGCAGTGAGCCTTCAAAAATATATATTTTGTAAGTTGTTAATTTAAATCTAAATGGCTTTCAGATTTGGTCGGGGAGAACAGAATGGCAAGTAGAGACTGTGACATCAAAACATTATTGTGTAAAGGTTTTCTTTTTTAAAAAATAGAAGAAAGAACTGTACTATTAAAACAGCTAAAGTAAAGGTGGCATTCACAGCCCATGAGTCAAGCCACAACCAAAACCACGTTCTACCCCCCTAAGTATATTCTGCTTTCCTTACTCTCTCTCAAAAAGTTTCTCTCCTACACCACCATTTAATCTTCACCAGATGGGACTTCATCTTCAGAGCCTTCATCCCCAGATTTGTCTGGAGGAGGACTAACTGATTTCTTCTTTGCTGGAGGACTTTCAGGCTCTTCATCGTCATCTTTTGGGGATGGGGTCTTTTCTTTCGATGTCTTTGATGCTGCTGGACGGCCTCCCTTTCCTTTACCTTTCACCGGACTAGGTGTAACTAGAGAAAGAAAAAGCACCAACATGCAACAAAGCATCTTGCAATCATGTATTAAGTGAGATAAGCCTCTGGGCACATATTACACACTTAAGTACAGTGGTGCCTCACCCAACGATGTTAATTGGTTCCAAAAAAATCAACGCTGTGTGAAACATCATTCTGTGAAACACCATTTCCCATAGGAATGCATTGAAAACCGGTTAATCCGTTCCAATTGGAAC